TTTTTTTATAATAATAAATAAATAATAATAATAATAATAATAATAATAATATATATATATATATATATATTTTATTATTAATATATATATATATATATATATTAGTCTAGGATCACATTTTCGTTCTTTTTTATTTCTTTCAGTTTTTTTCATCCTTTTGACCAATGATACAAAAAAAAAAAATTAATGTTTGATCGAATAACTTTAAACTTCTCAAAATGATCGTATTCGACCATTTCACTTTACAGCAACTTTGTATTTGCGACTTGGAATAGTTTTTTTTTTTTTTTAAGTGGACAGAAAAAAGATATAAAATTATTATAGCAATAAATAATAACGCGGGAGAGAATAAAAGAACGGACAAATCCAGTCTTTGAACTTTCGTTCCCATTTCTCTCACGAGACCATATCCTTGAAACTTCGAAGAAAAGGAGCCCAAACTCGTCAGAATATGCCCTCCTACTAACCAAAATCGAACCCTTGAGATTTCAAAGAACTTCGGACACACGTCAAGGACACACACACACACACACACACATGAATAGAGGCCTGTCAATTGAGTTTTTTTATATTCTTTTTTTTTCTTTCAATGATTTTTTTTTTCTTTTCTTAACATTTCAATCAAACCTACGTGACATAAACAAATTCATATAATAATAATATGCACATAAGATATGTTTCATGAATAGACGACAATATGATAAATTCAAAAGATGTTTATTCTTTCTACGAGTAAAATCATATTTCGATCTTGGTGAAAATTTGCTTGGCATTTATATGCAAACCTTTAATTTTCTAACATTCGCATAAATTATTATTTCCATTTACGTTAATTTTATCCCGTTCGAATTTCGTACTAATGTTGGAATCGTTCCATCCTTCCGTGTCGTTTTGACGTTAACGTTTGATATATATTTCTTCTATTTCTCTCTCTCTCTCTCTCTCTCTCTCTCTTTCTCTCTTTTTTGAACAAAAATGGAAAAGCTTTTGTGAAATCGTTCGTACGAACTATCCTTTTCCTACTTTTTGAATAACGTTTTGTGCACCAGGTTTGATAAAGATATGACTATGGCGTTATCGGATATTTTCCTCTCTCTTTTTAGCATAATTTCAACATTTCGAATGAACGACTTACGACCATAAACGACGATGGTACTTTCATTAAAGCTCGATCGTCGTTTTACTGCAAGTCCAAGAAGAAAGGTACTAACGAAAAGCTATGAACATAAAAAGAAGCCAATTTACAATTAATTAAAAGAATATTTTCCCCATTACATGGAAAAAGTATTATAATTTGATGAAATGGTTGTTTAGAAATATGATGAAAATCAAATAACACGTGTTATCCAAAAAATCAATAACGAATTCAATCGATCAAATCTCCTTACTGAAGTTGCTGAATGTGAAATTACACTGTCAATATTTGCCAAAACTCGCAAAGCCTGCATAAACTCGCACAAATCGTACGTTTGTACATTTTCCTTTCAAAAAAAGAAAAAAAAATGTAGAAGACAAATTCGTACGAATTTGCATTAAAAAAACTTGATGAACATTAATCGTAAAATTTACGTGAACTAAAATGGATTCAACGTTTTCCCAAATTCATCATTTTATTTCTTTGTAAAAAATGCAACGTATTTGAAATTATTTTTTTTTCCTTTTCCTTTTTTGTTTCTCGTCAATATACGTTGAACAAAATTTCGATATTTTCAACACATGAAGTAATTAAGAATACGATATGCTTCTGGTATAATAGTAACCTGAATACATAAAAATTCTAACGAAGCTGTTAGAACACTCGTTTGTATAACAAGGACGTAAATTTAAACGAGGCAAAAATAAGAGAAAAATCTAAAGAATAACAAACGAAAAAATGTTACAATTTACAAAAGACATTTTAATGAATAAAATGAGGAAAAAGTTGTCTCCGTGTGTGATAAGCTAGTTGTGTGATACGAATAAAAGACAAAAGCAGATAAAAAAAATTATATAAATATTTGATTATCTCCATCTACGAGACATTTGTTTTTCCTAATTTTGATAATAAACCTTTTAACATTTTTTTTTTCAAACAAACGCTCGCATTTTGTCATATGCATTACCTGGCCAATATTTGTATAAACTAAACGACTCGTGTAACAAGGAAAATTATACTGCTTAAATGTAAACAAATGTCTATGTTAAATTTAACCGAAAATAACCAAACCGTTTCTTCAATGAGAGTTATTAACAGCAATTTTGTTTCATTCTTTTCTTTTATATCTCATCGTAACATAAGATTATCCAATTATAACATAAAAATGACGTACATCTGGTATACTTAAAAAAAAAAAAAACATTTAAATAATAGTAAAAACGTTAAATAAAAAGAATTATCAATCGTTACAAACGAAAAGAAAAAAAAACCGAGTATTCCCAATGTTAGGATTTTTAGTTTAGTTATTCTTACATTATTTTTCAAATTTATTTAATTCATTTGTTATAAATAAAACCATTCAAATTAA